CGGAGGCTCGCGATCGACTTGAGAGCAGACGTCGACATGGCGGTAAACGAAGTATGCAAATCCCTCGTCGGTAGTCAATGAATCCTAATCAGGTCATCCTGGACGACCCCCTGGATACAAACATCAAGTCACAATCTGTGCACACTATTTCTAGGAGTAGGCAGACGCCCAATTGTACCCACACCCGCAATTCTGTAGCGTGCATATTTATGGCCAGCACGACACGTGTGGCTGCACATGTAGACCTATAGCACCGTGCAAACCTCGGCAGCTGAAGCGTGCAGCTGACGCCGCCATCATACCAACGCAGCTGGCCACGATCGCGGCTTCTTGAAGTCACACGAAATTAGGACTTTACCGAAAAACACAGATATAGTGTCATCCAGTAGACCAGACGCCTTTCTTCACACCATTTCTTGGAATGATATACGCAGAATACTGTAATTGTTTTGCTCTACTGCTGGTTAAACGTTGTCCTTCACGCTCTTTTAAGCAGTACAGACATCAGTGACTCTCCCAACTGCTCAAAAGGACCAAGAGGTCAACATACCCCAAAAACTCGTCGCGACAGCGTGTAAGTGCCCATGGTTTCATTCTGTAACACTATTTAGTGTATTCACCGGATACGACCGTTTCGTCCGGATACGCGACGATGGCCTGTGCCAGTCACACAAAACGGCATGGATCTTCGCGCCTTAGCGGACAAGTATGGCGGGCTCTCGCCAGAGGTGACAGGAAAGGCCATGGAGTACATGCGCATGCTCGACCTCAAGATGCAAGGAGTACGAGAAGCCTCTGCGTCGGCTACGCTCATGGTATCCCGCGTAGGGCAAGGCCTCGGTGTCGCTGCTCGACCGCCCGGCCGCCTGCCTCGAGCTCGCATGCGATGTGCTTCAGCAGCCGTGCGACAGCCGCAAGCTCTTCATGCTAGCAGGCGGCAGAAGCCTCGCCAAGCACAAGCAGAGCGTGCGGCTCATTTCAAGCCTCTGCGCATCCACGCCAACCACAATGCGACGGTGACGACAGCCGCGCTCTGCGTCAAGTTTGGCTGCCCGGCGCTGACCGAGTTTGTCGCGGCCGTCCACGACGACTACAAGGTAATCTTATTTGATCCATCTTTCCTGCCGTTGTGCAAGCATGTTTAGCACCGCATGGCCTCGAAGCTGTCGAAAGCAAGCCAGCAGCAAGTGGACTTTTCCCGACCGCTTTTTCCGATTGCTGTGTTCTATGTATGCGCGCAGAAAGCCAACGTATGCAAAATGCGATGTGCGACGCATAGTGTACCAACGCTACCACCTTGTAGCACCGCGTGGACAAGGCGCAGCTCATCCAAATGACCTTCAGCCATCCGAACGAGTTTGCGAGCGTCGCGTCGTCGATCGAGGTACTCGTCGCACTTGATGTCGCAGGCCGTCGACGATGGCGTACTAGCGCGTCTGCGACCTCTCGCTCTCTCGCTACACGCGTTCGGAGGCGAGCTTGAAAATTGGTACATGGACAAGTAGCCGACGAAGAAGGTTGCATGCGTGGAATACATAGGGCGCAAGCGCAAGCGTAAGGACTTGGCGGATACTGGCGACGACGATGGCGACGCTCAGGCGAACAAGCCAAAGGAGAATGCAGGGCCGCAAGCCAGCGCCGGTGCCAGCGCGACCCGGTCACTCGATCAAATCAAAAAGCTCATCCAGCTCCGAACCTCCGCCAAGGCCGCCACGTCAGGTAGCCCGATCGCATCCATGAGATTGGGATTCCAAGAGGTCGCATAGTCGAAGCCCCGACGCCTGCCCAGAAAGTTCCATCGCCGGCACCGACGTCGCCTGCACCAAGTGCCGAGGAGTACTCGGACTGGAAGAAGAAGATTCTCGCGCGCATGCTGGAGCAAAAAGTCGACCGAAGAGTAAGAAGGAGCTAACGACGAATGCTAATGAAAACAGCCACGAAGGTGGTCGAAGCATAGCGACAAACCACCGATTATTCGCCAAGTGATATGCGCTGTCGCGTGCCGGATACATATATATTTCTCGGCCGCTAAATCCAGGTCGAGGTGTGCGTCGCCAGGCGCGAACTCGACGTTCCCAGTGACTCACCTGGTTCCGCCTGGTTCCAACCGAGATGCTTGCTTCGCATTCGCGAGCTTAAAGACTTATACGTTCGATTGTATACGCGTCTATAAACTGCGGTGTGTACCCAAGTGAAGTACCGACGGCGGCGTGTCGTGGGTCGACTTGTGATCGGGCCTGCGACGCCGACTCCGAGAAACGACCAGCATTACATGAGGTTATTTGTCGGTTCAAAAAGCTGGGATGATGATTAACGTCAAGGGTTAATCGACATGGAGCTGCTTATATTCGCGTGGTGATCGTGGGAGGCTCTGCGTCATTTTCGTAGGTCGACAATAAAGGATAAGCAGGCTGTCCTTCGCTGGTACTAGTAGTACTGCATGGATAGGTTGGCTAAAATAGGCTTGGATGATGTATGCGGTTGACGCCAAGATAGCATTCTCCACGCCATGCTTCGGTCGCCAAGCTCACGGTCGCCAGGGTGCGACTTCGCGCTGTGCAACGCGATGAATCGAAGCCTCAGATCCAGATTCGAGGAAAAGCAACAACACACTCAGATGCTGCAGTACTTCATAGAAAAGCGTCACCGCGTTTTAGTACGTTTAACGCATGGCGTTTAACCCGTCGGTGGCGCTTAGTGATCGGCGCTTGGTGGGCGAGATTGTCGAGTCGTTGACAAGGAAGATGGGGGCGAGACGCAAGAGCTTATGGGGACTCACAACACACGCGACGGCTGCGCGTTCTGAAACCATAACTGCGAACCTGGTCGAGCGAGTGTTTAGACGCGCTTGCAACTGCGGGGCAAGGTGGGTTCAACCACGCCGACCAGCTGGGAGTGGCGCCACTGATCAGTTTGCCGTAGGTAAAACCCACCTGGCGTGGGTGTATTAATAAAACCTCTCTAAGCTAACCAAAATTCCGCTCTTTTTTGAGTTTGACCCGCACCACATGTCACACCTTCAGCGTCGGTCGGCTGTGCTTTGCAGCGGAAGGTGGTATCTTTATCTCTATGTAGAGTTGGCAACAGCTCGGTCGTGCACGTACGATTGCAGCATTTCCCAATTTACCTCAAGCCCCGCAACCAGCATGGCCACCTCAACCACCTACGTCAACTACGCTAGCCCCGTCCGCATGCCCATCACGGAGCGCGTCCCGCTGGGCCTTCGCATCGCCCAAGCCAGCGCGGGTGCGCTGAGCTGCCTCAGCCTCGCCATCTCGCTGCATTGGAGCGTTGGCTTTTTCGTGGCCTTCCTCGCCGTCATCATGGCGATTGCCAACTCGACTGCGTGGCTGCTCGTCCGGTACCGCGGCCGCAACCCGCCGGCCAAGCCGTACCTCTTGGACGGTCTCTCGGCGGCCGGTCTTCTCATCGGTGGCATTTGGCTCGCGGCCACCGAAGACGCTGCGTTCACGGTCACGTTCATGTGCATTGGCAGCCTCCTCTTCGTGACCATGATGGTCTGGAACAAGTTCCGCCCGCAGACCAAGAAGGTGACGCTGGTCGTGTCGCCCAAGGCGGACAAGGACGACGACGAGATGACCCACAACGCGTACGTTGTGCTCGAGACCCCCGGCCGGTCCCTCGAGTGCGTCATTTAAGTCCATCCTATTTAATTAGCCTCATCCACCTCCTATCTATAAACACGCAATCTATCCGTCGTCATCTTCAAGTCGCGTACTACATGTAGTGCCTCTTCTACGGCCATCCTCCACCCACGCACGCCAGCGGCGGCGCGTGCTATGCGACCTGCCTGTCTAGCGCACATACCCGTCGTTGGAGCATGGGCTGCATCGGGAGGGCGACGTGCCGACGGGCCGGTGCGCTGGGCGTTGGCTCGCAGGATGTTTGGCATTCATATCTTTGGCCGATCCCCTGCCGCGAGGAACGGTGCGGGAAGCTTGGGGGCCTTTTCGGAGCCACCTGGGCGGTATCTTTTGCCTGAACACACGTGCAAGCGCTGCCATGGGCGGCCAGCACTGTCACTCACGTGGCAACTCGAAGGCCCACGACGTCCTGCAGCAGCATTTCTTGCATCTGAGAAGACGTTGCAGCAGAAGCTACACACGCGTACTACACTGCAAGCCTCTTGGTAACTTGGTATCTCGCACTATAGAACCGCGGCATGCCACATCATCCTGCGCCATCTATGTATCGGTGCGGCTTCCGCGCTGCGGCTGGCATTGCTGCCTGCGACGCGCATTGCGCACCTCGTGCAACCGTCTCGTCGCCTGCGTTCGTACGGTAGCCGCCAACCAGTGGTCATGGCCATGTACCGGTGCGCGCCGCCCACACATGCAGTACAGTGTAGCCGATCGCTGCCCGACCAGCTTCATCGCGACGTCTTCCAGCCGACGACTGCGTCGTCCTCCTACCGCTCGCTTTGACCGCAAATTGTGGTCCAATGCGATTCCTAGGAATTCCGTGCCTGTACGCGTTACTAGCCTCGGCGTGTTCTAGTATCGAGAGATCTTGCGGCCCAATCGTAGGCAGGCATTGCGTGCGATCTGCAGCGATTGGTCAAAAATGACTGGTGCGAATTTCGATTGGACCGGCGGGTGGCCAACCAATAGTCCAAGGAAAGAATCATCCCAAGCATGACTTCGTCCCCGGAGAAGCAGCAGCCCACGCCGGCCGCGGACGAGACCCGCAGCTCGTTCCTCAAGGTCTTCTGGGACTTGGCCGAGCTGAATGTGGCGACGCGGACGGCGGCCGTCGAGGCCATCGTGAGCCACCTGCGCACGGCCAACGACGCCGACGAACTCAACTACACACTGAAGCGCCTGATTCGCGGCTTGGCCTCGTCGCGCGACGCGGCGCGTCAAGGCTTCTCGACCGCGCTGACCGCGGTGCTGCATGCGTTCCCTTCGCTGGATCTGGCCGAGGTCTTTGCGACGATCAAGTCGACCATGGACATTTCGAGCTCGATGAAGGGCATGGAGCAGCGCGAGCACATGTTTGGCCGCCTCTTTGGTATCCTCGCCTTGCAGCAATCGCTGCGCCTCGAAGACGAAGACCTGATCACGGCCCTCGTCACCGAACTCCTCACGATGGCCAAGTGGAAGAAGTGGTTCCGCGAGTCGTGCTTGGAAGCGGTGCTGTCGTTTGTCGTCTCGATGACGCCGGCGACGTTTACGACCCTCCTCCCGCTCTTCAGCGCGGCGCTCGAAGGCCCCGTCGCCTCCTTCAACGCCGACCAAGTCGCGTTCGCCATTGGCCTCCACGAGTACCTCGCGTCGCACAAACTGCTCAAGACGCACGCGTCGCTGGTCGCGGCGACGATCCTCGACCGCCACCACATGGCGCGCCTCGTCGAGCCGCTGAAAGCGTCGTCGACGGTCTGCTACCCGCGCGTGCACTCGTCGTGGCGCCGGCTCCTCGACCACTTCTTTGCGAGCCCCAAGCTCGACGAAGAGCGCTTCCAGGAAGCGTGGACCGTCCTCATTGACGGCATGCTCATTGGCGAAACGTCGACGCACGAGCGCCGCGGCACGGCGTTCAAGCTCTTCGAACTCATCGTCGCCAAGGTCCCGGGCCCGACGCTCCGGTCGATTCTGACGCCCCGCTTTGTCAAGTGCCTCTACAACAACGCTGTCTCGAAGAAGACGTACCTCCACGAAGCCGCTGTCGCGAGCCTCCAGACGTTTGCGGCCAAGAACCCGATCGAGTTTTACCACTTTTTGCAGCACCACTTTGCGCAGCCGCTCACGAGCCTCGTCTCGCCGCTTGACGACGATGCCACGTATGTCGATCTGCTTTATCCGGACAATCCGGTTTTCTGACACATGGATTGTAGCGAAAGCGACCCGAAGCCGACCAAGACGTTCGAGTTTGAGGCCGTCATGGCCATGGAAGAGGAGAAGGAGCGCAAGGAGTACCAGGCCAAGCGCATCGCCGGCGCGCGCATGTGGGCGCTGGACACGATGTACACGGCGACGCAGACGCTGCCCAGTACCGCGGAGGACAAGGTCTGGTCGTCCGTGCTCTCGTTCCTGCTCGAGCATGCCTTTTACACGCACACCAAGAAGGCCAAGAAGACGACAATTGTCGACCCGGCCGTCTCGGAGAACGTGACCGCGGCCTGCGGCAAGCGTGTGTATGCGCTCATGGGCCTCGGCAGCCACGCGTTGAAGGGCTCTTCGACGCTCGAGCAGAGCGTGCCGTTCCGCCTCTGGGCGACGTGGGCCGAGATGGACAAGAAGAAGGACCTCGCGCTTGTCGAGCCGCTGACCAAGGAACACGCGGCCAAGAAGGCGATTGTGAACGCGCAGATCGCATCGCTCTCGACGCAGTTGAAGGCCGCGACGGACAAGAAGGAGCAGCTCAAGCTCAAGGGCTTCATGCTTCTCAGCGTGTGCGTCGGCCTCCAGCTGCTCGATGCGTCGTCGCGCGACGAAGCCGCGTCCGTCCTCGACGATCTTGAGCGCTGCTTGAAGGAGCTCAACGCGGCCACCAAGCCGAAGAAAAAGTCGCCGGCCAAAAAGGGCAAGAAGGCGTCCGAGGACGACGAGGTCCCGCAGCCGCTCACGGTCCTCACGGATATGATGCTCAGCATGCTCGCGCAAGAGTCGAGCGTCATGCGTGAGATCGTCAACCACGTCTTCCGCTCCATCATGGACCAGCTCGACGCGACGTCGCTCCAGAGCATGCTGGATGTGGTCACGGCGCCGGAAGAGAGCTCGATGCTCTCGATGGGCGACGACGACGACGACGACGACGACGAAGGTGCCCCGATCGACCCGACCCAGCTCACGCAGCCGGTCGACATGGAGGTCTCGTCCAACGACGATGAGCAAAACGACGACGACGACGACGAAGAGGAAGAGATTTCGGAGGAAGCCGCGCTCTCGGAGCTCCAGCGCGAAGACGCGGCGCTCTCGGCGCTTGTCAACAACGTGGTCGAGAAGAAGAAGGCCAAGCAGCAGGCCAAGCGCCTCAAGATGGCCGCGCTCCACTTCAAGGTCCGTGTCCTCGACCTCCTGCACGCGTACGCTGCCGGCACGGGCCCGCACGCTGCCATGCTCATCGCGCCGCTCTTCACGGCCTGGACGTCCACCAAGGCGTCGACGGATCTGATCGTGTGGAGCGAGCGCCTCGGCAGCGTCCTCACCAAGCTCACGAAGCGCAAGGACGGGCACTCGAACGACCGCGCGGGCCTCAAGGCGGCGCTCGAGTCGGTTCTCACCACGCTCGGCGCGTCCATGTGCGAGAAGAAGCAGGCGTCGGTGGCCGCGACCGTGATCGTGTACCTCGTGCGCCAGCTCACGAAGGACGGCAAGACGGCCGACGTCGCGGCCATCTTGGCGCCGATCGTGACCTTGCTCTTGACCAAGAAGCACCAAAAGATGCCCCGTGTGGTCTTTGACGACCTCGTCGCCAAGGCGCCGGTGCAGGCGACGACGCTTCTCTTCCCGACGCTCGCCGGGCTCTGCGTCGACGACAGCGCGGTCGATGACTTCAACCGCGCCGAGGTCGCTCGGTACGTTACGGCGCTTGTCAAGACCAAGGGCATGACGCTCGAGCTCCTCTCGCCGTGGAGCACCAAGCTGCAGAAGGCGTGCTTGGAGGCCATGACCAAGGTCAAGGGCAAGCGCCTGAAGGGCGTCGCCGCCTGCGGCCAAGCGCTCTTGAAGGCGCGCATGGACCTCAAGGACACGACGCTCGATGCGCTCGCGCTCGCCGACGAGCTCAAGGCGCTCGACGCCGCCAGCCCCGTCGTGAAGGGCATGGTCGCGCAGATGCTCCAGCTGCTCGGCGGCCCCAAGGCGCCCAAGGACAAGAAGCGGAAGCGCACTTTGAGCCAGTAGATGCTAATAGACGACCCCTCATTAATCTAATGTATATAGATATCAATCTTTGTCTTGATACAGTGGAGGCACCGGGCCAAGGGTCTCGTCGACAATGATGCATGACCCTTGGGCGAATCCGACACGTTTGGCCGCCTTGCCGAGAAGGAGAAGAAGACGACGTCTCTCGTCTGCGATGATAACTGCCCGCCTTGAAGCGGCCAACTCGCTTCGGGCTTGATGCTTGCCCTATTGCAGCAGGGCGTAGGCCATATCTCTCTCGCCTGCCCGTCCACCTCGATGCGCCGCACGCCAGGCCCACACGGGTTTCGTGCGTGTCTCCGCTGATGGGCTAATGGGCTGATGGGCCCGCTATTGTTGCCATCATGGCTAGTGCGTCGCCACGCGGCCGTGCTGAGGCAGAGAATTGCACCTGCAAGCGACCAAAGCATACATCTTCACATGCAAGAAGCAGCACGACGTGCGAGGCTGTTTATTGACGTTCTTCGGGCTTGCCGAGCATCGCGCGGAGGGCCACGACGTCGTTGACCTGTGTCTCGTAGTTGTCGGCGACAATGTGGCCGACGTACGCACCAATGCCAATAAAGGCGACGTGTTCCCACGGGTCTAGACGCAGAGGATAAGCTGAAGCTTCATGTACAGAGACGTACGGCGCATGTAGGGGACCTTCTGCAGCGCGTTCGAGAGCAGCTTGGTGTTGAGGCCCATGGCCGCGCCGAAGACCGCGCCGATCAGCGTCATCTCGTCGTTAATTCGTTTGGCAAGCGGAA